TGTACCTGACTCGCTTGTGAGAATGCGTGGTGAAATAAGAAATCTTGACAAATGTACAAACGCTGCAACAGGTCAACTGTAGATTGGAAATTGTGGAGAGCCCTGTTCGTCCACGTCCTGAAAGAACACGTCACATAGAAAAAAGATTCAGCATTTAACCCTTTTAATGTTTGTAATATTTAATTTAAAATATTTTAATTAACCTTCTTATTTATTTTATTTCTAAATAATTTTTCTGTTCATCTTATTTCTGATATTTTTATCTTGTAACCTTCGCTTTCTGTTATTTAATTTCATTATTTTTTTTCTTTTTTAAAAGTTAATTCTTCCTTTTCTTAAAGTTATCTTTCAAGATTTAAATGATTTAAATATCAACCGATTTTGCTTTTATTCTCTAACTAGCAGCATGGCCCGGCGTTGCCCGTGCTTGATTAAAAAATCGTACGACTCATACAGTAATCACTATCACTTGATTTAAAATATTTGCCCTTCCTTGCCTTTAAAGGAGTGCCCTTTTCCGTGCTGATGTTGCTACATGCCTTACTTCTTCCCTATCTCACACTGCGAATTTTTTCTAAGCTCTATCCTAAACATTAAATCTGTTACAAAAAAAGAACTAAACAAAATGAACACAAAACGATCAGCTTTAAAAAAGGACTCGTAACTGGAAAAACTGAATGAAAAAAGAATGTTAAAAAGAAATACTTTTTCACACCCAACCCAATTCTGCGGAATCAGAATCATCGTTGAGTTTAAGCAAGCGAATGACCCAATTGGAGTAAAGTGCCACGCCGATTTAAATTTTTCCCACTTGTGACGAAGGCAGCTATCGATTTTTTTTTTGCATTCGTTTCAGTCAGCTGTTGGCACTCACGCTGGCCAATAGAATCTCCCTGCCTATTCGTGGAAGCCAGCTATAGGCTTTCACTCTGGCCAGTAGAAAATGGCCGCAAACTACAGAAAAGATATAGTTATATATATATATATATATATATATATATATATATATATATATATATATATATATATATATATATCGCTCTATTTCTCTCTTCATATCACACAATTTTTCTATCCTCTATCACTTTATCTATCTATCTATCTATCTATCTATCTATATATATATATATATATATATATATATATATATATAGAGAGAGAGAGAATAGATAGATATCTATCTATTCATCTATCTATCTATCTATCTATATATATATATATATATATATATATATATATATACATATATATATATATGTGTGTATATGTAGAGATAGATAGATAGATAGATAGATAGATAGATAGATAGATAGATAGATTTTTTGGGGAAACATGAGAAAAGATTACTTGGAGAATTTAACACTCACATGACATAATCAAAATAAAAGAAGCAGGTGAAAACTGAGAGTAAACTACTTAAAATTCTTAGTGCATGTATGGCATAACGAAGACAATGCGGTGTGGTATGGTGTTCAAAATTTACTTAGAACAAAGAAATTATGTAGTGAAGAGCTGAGATCACCCGTTTCCTGAATAAGATATAAAATATCAAAATAAAAGATATTAAATTTTTTCCTTTTCTTTCATGTGATTAAAATTACGTATACATATATAATCGAAAAGCACTGGCAGTTCACCGTAAAACATCTGGGCCCAATTCTGATTTAATCAATGCCAGTCTAATGAGGAGAGAAAAGGATTCATTAAGAAGAAAATATAGTGAAAGTGTGGCAATCTAACAATTATCGAAAATAAACAAGGACAAGGACCATACATAATATCAGCGATCATCTTAAAATCAGTAGGAGCATATATATATATATATATATATATATATATATATATATATATATATATATATATATATATAAAGAGAAAGAGATTTAATTTAATAGGGCGGTTAATGAAATTCGAGAAATAAAAAACCACAAAGTGATAAATCTATTGTCAATGAGACAGATAATATTTATCGCAGCCTTTTCACTTAACTGAAACAGTAAAGATTATAAAGTTGGAATTTCTTACAGTAATGCTACAAACTTCTGACAATAACACAAAACATGGAACAAAAAACAACAAAAAAATTAAACAGAAAAGAAAGTTCAACTATATTGTTTATTTCTCATCTCGACTATAAAGTACACACGCGGGTCCGAAGATTCCGACTATAAAATATTTCTCCGGTTTAGTCAACAGGCTTACTAATATAAAATGCACATTATCATCAGACTTATTGACAATATCTTTATCATTTTGTTGTTTTTATCTACCGAATTTCATTAACTGGCCTTTTAAATCTACATATTATGAGAAGAATTCTTGTACTATCTTTCGTTGTTATAATATATATATATATATATATATATATATATATATATATATATATAGATAGATAGATAGATAGATAGATAGATAGATAGATAGATAAACAAACAATCAAACAATTTTTGGTCTTTAGCCATGGGATCTGATAAAGTAATTTAATTTATTGCCCATCTTTGTAATCGTTCGATCTACTCGTCAGGAGGTATCAACAACTGATTGCCGATTTTCTCATTTTCATTATTTTTTTTAAGTTAAACATTGATTTATCCGCCTTTATTTGTGTCAGGTTGACTTTTTTTATATAGATGTTTACTTCAATGTCCATTATCTATCCTACATATTATCATGACAGTTTACCCTATCTACTTACACCCAGAAAGCAAATTTATTCAGTAAAACTCTACATTTAGAATGATTTGGGGGTCTGGCATCGGGTGAACAATAGTTTAAAAACGGCAAAAAAGATACCCGTTGAATTTATTTGGCATTAAATGATCAAGTGCAAGACTCACTAAATTGTGTCTTGAGGTTATGGTGCCTGGAAAAATGTAGTAGATGGAAAAGAAAACTTGTGTGTGAGGGGTGATAAAATAAAGCTGTGATCATCAAGTAATGAATGACAGACAGTAGTAGATCATCTTGTTCTAGATTATAATAAATGGCGGGAAAGAAGATATAAATGGCGGGAAAGAAGACATAAATGGCGGGAAAGAAGACATGCTATTTTGCAATGTGCTGGGAGCGAAAACAGCAACTAATGAAGCGTTTGAAATTGTACTTATTACACAAACGTATATTAATTCGAAAATAATTAGAACACTTTTTTAAAAAAGGAAATAAACTCACATTGACTGAATCACCAAATTCACGAACAAAAGTTTTAATCCGTTCGGTCGGCTAGTGCAGATTTAGACTGAATCGAAACTGAGCGACCAATAGCTGAGCAGTACTAAATACGAATAAGACAACATATCCCTGGACATGAGTGAGACCAGTATAACACTGTAGATTAAATTCGAATTTCCCTGAAGGTTACCCGGAACGAAAATAACGTGATGAAGACCGGAGACCCCAATGATCGAAACGTTGTGATAATAACAACAAAGATAAGGACAATTGTTTGAGCATAAATAATGTAAATAACGATAGCATCACGTCACAGAATTTCCGAGAGAAATTATCTGAACGATTTTAAGAAATATCCTCCACTTGGTTAATACAATTTGGTAAGAAAAGCGAAAGGAATATTTGAGGAATATTTCACTATGAGAATATTTCACTCGTTATAAACATGAAACATTTTTTGTAAATTTACATTTATTGGACCTTTCTCATGTATCAAATTATCAGAATTGATTTTTATATCTTTAGAAAGGGGTTCTGTTCGGTGTAAAATCGATCCCTGATCTTTTTACAAAGTTATTGAACTAACTTTTTATTTACAAATGACAATTTTCGAACTGTGATTACGTTATTGATATCTGCATATTTATTTTTGTAATTTTCTGAATTTTTAAATCTATATTTCTATCGGGGAATTTTTTTCGAAGATTTATGCGCAAACACAGTGAGATGAAAATCATTTAACTTAAACGAGAAATACACGGGCATATATATTTAGTAATTTATGTAATTTTCTATTCTTTAATTAACTTTACATATCCGTGTGTCTTTTTTTTATTTATAAGAAATATGTTTTGTAAAATAAGCCTCTTTTTTCTTCGCAGAACAGGTCAGTTCAGATAACTCTGTATCAAATCTAAGAGATGGATCTTATACTGTATCGATATTATAAACAACACTTCACTTCTAAAATGATAAAATGTAAATATTTCTGACAAAGGTCACCACTTGGGGAGGGGGGTATAATGAATGGTAACCCGCAAAAAAAAAATAAATAGTAAAGCATTTCCCCTAGTATTTTAGAATGGAGTAGTCTATTTACACTACATTATTGGATTGTTGTCATCATCATTATTCTCATATTCCCGACGTTTCGACTGTTGTACGCTTTGGCCATCTTCCGGTTATATACGTTGGGACTTCGACCGAACCATTTATTTCATCCACTGGGGTAGATTTTCTAGTTCCACGTGAATAAGACAATAAAAATGAGGACATCAGTCCGAAAAATGTAAATAATTAAAATATCTCATCTCAGAAATATAGACAGATATAGTAGTCCATTTAAGTAGTAGCGATTATTTAAAGACATTAATTCCAATATGTTTTTAATTGATACGCTTTCTACGGATTATCACTCCTTTTTTCTTGCAACGTAAAAATTTTTTGGCTTAGATATAGGTTATCTAAAAAATATTTTTAAATTGCAAGAATTTTTTTGAGATAATACTGATTGTGTGATACTAGATTTACTAGTTAACCCGTAGCTGGGGAGAGAAGTGGACTCATACCTTTCTGAAGGGTATTTGCATATAAGTGAATATAACAAACCTGAATGGAATTGGAATTCAGCCTTCTGATTTTAAATTTCGAGCTATAATGCATTACACCACCCGTACACCCAAGCTTACAGCACCTGGTATGCCCAAGCGATCACCCCTTTAGGTACTGACTGAGCTCGACGTTGCTTAACTTTGGTGGTCGTACGGGAACTCGGCTCTCCGATTAACAATTCCGAGCCCTTAACCATTACACCACCCGTATATCCAAGTTTACAACACCTGGTTTTCCCAAGCGATCACCCCTCTAGGTACTGACTGGGCTCGACGTTGCTTAACTTCGATGAGTGTACGGGAACCGATGTTTTAACATCATACGCCCGTAAGCCAATATGCTTTTAAGGAAATGCATGAGTTTTCTACCATATTTTTCCCTCATTTTTTTTTTCTCTTAGACCAGAACACAAGTAAAAGTCTAAATGTGAATGCGGTCTGCGGATCAGCCCAGACGACAAAAAATGGTTTTAGATATGTATTTCAGGAAAGGCAAAGCGAAAACGTTTCTCAAATTTCATCCTGTTGTCTTTGTAGAGTATATTAATGTTCCTGGGGGATTCAAAGGTCTCGCTTTGGTCCCCATTGTTGATCAAAGCAATAACCTCAGAAAGTCTTATAAGAAATAGGAATGAAATCGGCAAATTAAGTTCTTTCTGAGCAGGAAATCAAAAGGTTAAAAGTCCATGCCCACACAATAACAGACTCACACACACACACACACAAACATACACACACGCAATCTCTACCCTCCCCGTTCACTCCTCCCCAGCATCACTCTCCCTATCTCTACACATATTCTTTCTCCTCTACTTCATTCATCTTTACCTTAACTCTCCCTCTCTCTAAATACATACACAACACACACACACACACACACACTTTCTCTCTCTCCTTCACTCCAGAACACTCCATTTTCAGTCTTCTTATATCTCTCTCAACACACACAGAGTCGTACTACTCTCCTTCAATCATCCCCACCTTAACACCCCTCTCTACAGACACATGCACGCACAGATTATCTCCCCACTCCTTCACTCCCTCCCCTTTCTCTCTCCCTCTCCACACACACACACACACACACACACACACACACACACACACACACACACACACACACACAAAATGTTTCTCCTGTACTCCTTTCCATATTCTCTCTCCATACACACGCACACACAATATATCGCCACTTTCACACTTCTGTCCACTTTAAATATCCCCCCTCTCTCTCTCTCCACACACACACACAGACACAATCTCTTTTCTCTCCTTCACTCCTCTCCACATTCACTCTTTCCTTTTTCTCTCTGTATCTCTCTCGCTCTATCTCTCTCTCTAAACACACACATGTACACACACACAATATCTCCATACCATATTCACTTTCTCTCACCCATCCCTTTCTCTCTCTACACACACACGCACATATACGCACACAATATCTCTATTCGATCTTCACTCTCCTTCATCCATCTCTCTCTCTCTCTCTTTCTTTCTGTATATATATATATATATATATATATATATATATATATATGAGGCGTGCAGTTTTGGGTGGTAAGGGATTCAGCGCTTCCTCTGACTAAGATTATCAAGGTTAACGATTAACTATAAAAAGTAAAAGGCTTTTAATTCATTGTAGATTTGTAACTTAATTCAATGTACAATTCTGCAAACGTTTATTATTTTCATCTAAAACGTAATTCTCCCGTGCCTTTCAACTTCATTTTATATAATACGCGTCACGATGTCTAGCCTATGTGCCATGGTCGCTGCTCCAAAACATATTTGATAACGGACTATAGAGGCAGCATTTTTGATATAAGTCGATAAAAATTTTGCTCGCAAAAAATATAAGCCACCCTTCTCGGACCAGTGTTTATATTCACATTTCAAAATACGTCTTTTTAAAATGATGATCAGCCTGTACAAGTCCCAATAGCCACTCGAGGTAGAGAGTTACAGAGTAACAAACACAGTTTATGGGGATACGTGGGGAAGATTATGGTTGGCAAGGAACTTCATCAGGTTAAGATTCCCCGTAGAAGCAACCTCTTTGGAGCAGGTTCCTCTAAGCAGCGGTTCGTGGGAAGAAGCTGATCGAGCGGGACTTACATCACATCACTGGAACACGAAGGGAATGAAGGTGGTTCTCTGCAATGTTCGTGGTATGGAGAGTCTTAGCTGTGAAGGTGAGAACTGCTGAAACTAAGTGATGTAGTTCGTCTAAAAGCTTTCTGTGGAAATAGCGAAAGAGAAGCGAGCAAAGTTTCGTCTCTGATAAATGGTTTGCTGGATGGAAAATAATTCCTCATACATATGAAAGATATATAAATATTTAGTTTAGATATTAATTCTTTATAATCTAACATAGCATTTAAAAGTACTTAAAAATAGATAATCCTTAGCATAAATGCCTTAGCATCACTGAGGCTACCATGTCTCCCCAAAGACTTTTATATTTAAAAACACCGAAATTTCATACTTTCTTGTCAAAGACGAGACAGCGGTTTCATGTTGTTCTCTTCAGGGTTTGGAATTAATTCTGTATCTGTCTATATTTCAAGGACATATCGCACAGTGGATAAAGGCGTTTGTTACATCCAGTGACAGGAACCAAAGTGTATGAGTTCAATACCCGGTTAAGGCAGTTGAGAACTTGGAGAGGGGAATTAACAGGAGATAACTGACAACTGACATCCATTAAACATGACACGTGGAACTAGAACAGTCTACCCCAGTGAGTGAAATAAAGGGTTCAGATCGACATTCCAACCACCTGAAGAAAGCCGGATCGTACAACGGCCGAAACTTTGTGATAAATTTAGCGACAAAGATGAGGACGATAGTCGGAATAATGTAAATAGTGTACATAATACCTAATCTCAGAAATATAGACAGATGTTCAGTTCGACATTCCAACTACCTGAAGAAGGCCGGATCGTACAATGGCTGAAACGTTGTGATAAATATGGTGACAAAGATGAGGACAATAGTCGGAATAATGTAAATAGTATACATAATACCTCATCTCAGAAATATAGACAGATGTTCAGTTCGACATTCCAACCACCTGGAGAAGGGCGGAGCGTACAACGGCCGAAACGTTGTGATAAATAAGGCGACAAAGATGAGGACAATAGTCCGAATAATGTAAATAGCTTTACATCTATTCTGCTGTTTGTCAGCTATGATGAGAGCCTCGTTTATTCTCTTATCCAAACATAGTTTGAGGAAGTCACCTCTACCGATATACAAAATTTTAATGATTTATCGATTTATTTCAAACAAATAAATTTCCATCTTATATAATAAATTTTGTTTCCTTCAGAGATCAGCATTTAGTAGTCTATTCGCATGACATTTCTTAGAATTTCTACAAAGTGGTTGCCCAAAAATTATTTTATCTAAAGAATATATCGTCGATGTTTTATTGATGTATCTCAACAAACATTAAACCAGTAATCGAATTTACTTTTGAAAGGAGGACATTACATTAATGGCTTACAGACACATCACTTTGAAACACCAGTATGATCTTTGAAGGTCTGAGTCAGATTAGAAGTTTGATGGATGACAGCTTGTGAATACCAAGTGCTGTAATCTTGGATGTGCAGGTGGTGTAATCGACACCGGCTCTGAATTGGAAATCGGAGAGCCAAGTTCCATTTCTTGTCGGTCATATTCACTTACGCTCAAATATTCTTGAGAAAGGAATGAATACACCTGTTCTCCTCACCTTCAACTATTGACTTGAATCGTAAAATCATTATTATCTCAAAAAGAAATCTAACAATATTTTCTGGCTTTAAATAACCTGTAAAGATTGATAAACTTTCCCACGGACGGAATGTCACAAACCTATCGCTATTTCCATGATAAAGGTTTAAACGAGATCCATTCTTCCATTCTACCAGTTCAGATATTTACACTTAGGACGCGTCATGCTACATCCACAGAGTTGAATCACTCTCGTTTCTTCCGTAGTCCAGTTGCAAAGAGGAAGATAGTTTTTTTCGTTTTGTTTTTTACCCAAGAACAACTAATTTGTAGAACAGACTACCGGTCGTTTCCCTGAACATTGCAAATTTAAACTCTTCAAGTAAATCGTCAGTTGTTATCTAACCTCATTGACGTCATCATTTTCACTTCCTACCACCTCCTCTTACACATCACATTCCGTATCTATCTACCTTGAGGGAATCCTGAGCATTTTACTGACAACCTTATTATACAACCGTAATAAACAATAAACAACAATAAAAATAAAATAACATCCGTAATGAAAACTGAAGAGTTTGAAAAAGTCATAACTTGTTCGTTTTCTGTCTTTGTTTATTTTATTTTATTTCTGCAAGTTATTGAGCGTCCATTGGAGATTAAAATGACTACGTATGATATTCAGCAACGAGTAAAATTTATTGAGTTTTTCTATTCTAATGAAAGATCAATTATTTAAACTCAGACAAAATACCGGCAACATTTTTATGTCAGAATATCTCCTAGCGATAACATGATTCGAAACCTAATCGCTCGGTATGAAAGAACGGGATCAGTCGACGATCTTCCGGGAATAGGTCCTAAAGCTCACTGTACTCCCTGACGCAGCAGCGGAAGATGTACAACAGATTGTCCTTAAGAATCCATCAGCTTTTACGCGCCGTCGCTCTGCTCAACTAGGTATCGTCAGAACATCGCTTCAGAAGATTCTGAAATTGGATTTACAAATATTTCCATACAAGATTCAAATGGTCCAAACTATATTGCTCTTTGGTGAGGTGTTATGGTTGAAATTTATCTTTGAAAATGAGAAAGGTCAGCCAAAAAGAATCAACGTGGCCCTGTATAGAACAATGCTTGAAAATTTGTACGCCCAGCGGTCGAAGATAATCAGGATGTATGGTTTCAACAGGATGGTGCTACTGCGCACACTGCCAAAGCAACAATGGACTTCCAGCGAAGTATTTTCGGTGAACGAATAATTTAAGAAAATGCCAAATTTTATTTTAGCCTTCCCGTTCAACTAATTTGACGGCACCAAACTTCTTTTTGTGGGGCTACTTGAAAGAACGGTTTTACCTCAATAAACCTCGAACAATTCAAGAAATTAAGCAGCATATTCGAGCCGAAATCCGACGTTTAGATCCTGGAACTTTGCGTACGGTCATGGAAAATGCTGTGGAAAGAGCCTGTATTTGTGAGCAGGAAAATTGTAGTCATTTGAGGGATGTAGTTTTTCACACATAACACTGAAAAAAGCCATTGGTTAAGTTTCCAAATAAAATAATAATAAAAAAATACAAAAACATGTGTTTAT